AACTGAAGCGTTTCAATTACGATTGCTGACAAATAGCCATGTATTCGCAAGCATGCATGGCTATTTGCCAGCAGTCAATTGGAGCGCATGTACTACGGGCAGGTTCGGACAACTCGTCCAACACACGTCTCCCTAAACGGCAGGGGGAGTCCCTGTCTAAGCCCCTGCCCGACGTTTTTTCTACTTTTTCTTTCTCCATTGACCAACTTCTCACCTGCAACGTCATTATAGGTGGTCCTTACCCGCGAATTCGTTCCTGGATTGTTGCTTTAAGGAGTTGTGCAGCGCAAAAGAAGATGCAAATTCCTACACAGCAGGGAAGCAGGACACAAGGAGCAGCGATAAGAGTTCTCACTAAGAAGAGCAAGGGAGCAATGAAAACGTACATGTGTCCAGAGTATGGTTTTTTGGTAGTATCTCTCTTTTCGGAGCCTTTCGAACGCTATGAAAATATAATGCTTTGGGTTGCTTTCTGAGAAAACAAGAAATTTGATCCCTCGGCGAAATGCACACTTCATCATACAACATATATGTAACGCATTATATAGCGCGTGCGCCACTACGTGCAGCTCGCACATTCGTTTTTTTTTTGAGGCCGCTTGTGTCACAAGGTACATCATTAAATTTGATCGACAAATTTTTGTTTTTACTGAGCAATTTTGGCTAACGTCCACAGCGAAATGGCGACAGGTTTCATTGTACTGTTCAAGACGTTCCTTTTTCGGTAATTTGACAACAAATTTAGCCAACGGCAGTACAAATTTCGAAGATTTAAGTTAATAAGCAAGTTTTTGATTGCCCAATTTTTGACACACCCCTTTGGGTTACCTGCTCAGGGATTTAGGCTAAAAGTACACGGGTGGAGGAACTTAGCTTGAAACCTAGTACGATATAATTAGAGGATTACTGTGTCGGAGGATAGGTCACTTCGCACCTCCTCGGACTCGCTTGAGGGATGTCCCCACCTGTCGCTTCCGCTGAGTACTGACCTTTTCGACAGCTCCATACCAGCACAATAGAGGCAAATTAATATCAAAACATAAAGTATAAACAAACATGGTTACTACTGCAACACAAAAGTGGAATAGATCAATAAATCTTATGTCATCACTGTAACAAAAAACATTATGTTATTGGTGGAGCATTTAGAAATGGTTACCACAAGTCAATAACAGTAAAGAATTAATTCACTGTGGTCGTTGTGTGTATGTGCGAAAAAGAATTCTTTGAATTACTTGCACGTAGCTGCTCTCTAACGAATGTGCTTCTTACTGAGTTGATCTTTATCTAATTAATTAGGAATGATTAAATTGCTGATTTGTGCAAACATATGACCTGTGCCCAGCTAATGCTCGTACACGGAGATTACGACACCAATAACACACACCTTACCACTTGCCTTTAATTACTCCATAGGACATGACCTTTCGCACTTGTTTATGACACAATACCGCTTTTTCAACCTCGAAGGTGATACCTAAGTAGAAGGTCTGTAAAAAAGGTATCCAAACCAGTGCATACCGCCGTCAAGCTACAAGGAGACCACTCGAAATGATGCAAATTTGTAGGAAAATGCCCAAATAAATATACTAACAAGCCAACAAAATTCTCGAAATATTATTCGCAGAATTTTGGATTGTATCTTTCAGTATTTTTTGTAACAGTAATAAAGTTTGGTGTAAGAAAAATGGGTGTGCACCCTTAGTCTAAAGTGTAATTATGTGGAGACCAACTCGCACCTACAGTTACTTGCCTGTGGGCAGGTGGTCAATTGCGCTGAGTTATCTGCTGACCTCTTCTCAGACTCAGTATCGATCATTTGAATAATGAACTTTATCACATAAACACGGTT